CGAGTCCCACAGCCACAATTCCACCCACCCGGGGTTCTGGCTTTCTCTCCCCTCCAGCTGTGCTGGTCTCCTGGGGTTGCTGCAGCGTCTGACCTTGAACTGGGCGGCTTAGAACAACAGAAATTTACTCTCATGGTTCTGGAGGCCAGAAGTCCAAAGTCAAGGTGTCGGCAGGGCCGTGGTCCTGGTTAAGGCAGTGAGAGAGAACTCTGTTCCCAGTATGCCTTTTTCAGAGCTGGCTTCTGGGGTTGCCAGCAATCACCGTGTTCTCAGCTTGCAGGCACATCACTCCAACCTCTCTGCCTCTGGTGTCATATGGCCTTCTCCTTGTTTGTCTAAGTTTTCATGTAGCCTTCTTATAAGGACAACAGTCATTGGATTAGTCCCCATACAACTCCAATGACTTTGTCTTAAATGGATGTATAGTACAAAAATCTTATTTCCAAATAAGGGCACATTTATGAGTACCGGGGGCTTGAATGTATTCTTGGGGGACACAATCCAACCCATAGCAGATACCCACATCCAAGCATGGCCTCAGACAAGGGCCAACATTTCCAGAGGAAGGGCCTGAGTCTAGGACCACCACCTCAGTCCAGGTGGCCGCAGTGAGAAGCTAGCACACACAACTAGAGAGTAGTCCCTGCTCGCCACAGCTAAAGAAACCCTGTGTAGCAACGCAGACCAGCAAAGGCATAAATAAATAAATAAAAATTAAAGGCCTTCTCTAAAGGCTGTGAGGGGATCATGGATTGGCCGACCATTTGCTGCTCTGGGTGGTGTTGCGGAAGGCACTCAGTGCCTCAGTTCCCTCCCTGTGACAAAGGGTGTTTGGAGGTTAAATCACGGTAAAAACTCTGCCTGCAGTGCAGGAGTCCCTGCATTGGGTAGGGAAGATCCCCTGGAGAAGGGAATGGCAACCCACTCCAGTATCCTCAATATGCCTGGGAGATCCCATAGGGAGAGGAGCCTGGAGGGCTATAGTCCATGGAATTGCAGAGTCAGGCATGACTGAACAACTAACATGTTCACTTTCACACTTTCTAATATATAAATTACCCAGTTCAGGACCTAACCCCAACAGGCATTAAAACAATTGATCTTTATTATTATTAGTGGTGTGGGAGGATTAATCACATAAAAGTGCCCAGCACTCAGAGGTTACTGCATCAGTGATGGCGCCTGGATCTCCTCCTGCTCTGACTTTTCACATTCGATCACCTGTGCCCTTTGCGCCAATGGCTCTGGTTTTCAATCCCCTAGACTCCTAACTTACTTCTAGAGAACACCTGTCACTCTTCTTTGCCCTTGTCTCAGCACCTGCCTAGAAAAATTTACCTAAAAGTAAATATAGTATTCATTCATTCACTTTCTCTCTAGTCCTCCTAAAACGTTTAAGCTTGGACGTGTGTGCGGCTGAAGGGAGTGGGGAACGTTATTAGTTTCCTGCTTGCAGTCTTCCTGGGGTCTAGAACCCTGCCCGGCACCTGACAGACAGATCATTAAGTACGTGTTGGGAGAATGGCCGATTTTCAGGCAGAAGGGGGTGACACGTGGGGACACGGGGCCACTCGACGGGCGGAGAGGCTGGTGACGCAGAAACCTAGGGACCGGAGGATAAACAACTGAATGAACCATGGCTGAGCATTCGCATTTTTACGAAAAAGATGCCCCATTCCCTCTTCCGGGCAGGGCGGGAGAGCCAAGGGCCCGCAGCTATCCTGCAGGACACGAGCGGAAAACGTTGGGCACGGGTCCTGCGCACTCTGCCTTTCTAACCCCTTGTTCCCGCCCAGGGCGGCCGCCCACCCCGGGTCTGAACCCTCCAGATCCCGCGGCGTCAGCACGTGCTCAGCAGCCGCCCGCCGCCCAGGGCGCAGCCTCACTCTCTGCGGCGCCCCTCCCCGCGCGGCCGCTCAGTCCGGAGGGGCGCGGAGTGGGCGGGGCGGGACCGGCCCGGGCGGTGCTGGGACTTGTAGGCCTAGCCGCCTGCGCCCTGCCCCCGCCCATAGAGGCCCAATCACGGAAGGGGAAACTGAGGCCGGGTGAAGGTATCCAACGTGCCCAAGATCACGCGGCTGCAAGATGGCCGCCTTCCCTGGCCCAACAACTGTAGATGACACTTCAGCAAAGTTTTCCAAGGGCGCGCTGAGGGTCCCTTTTCTGGTCGAGAGCTCTCCTCGGCTCTTTCCTTCCACCATGCATTCGTTCACTCAACAAACCTTTCCTCGGGGAACTTCTGCTTGCCAGACCATACAGCTTGAGGAAAACATCCAAGGCCCCACCTCGCAGGAGAGAGAGAGAACTTAAACCCGCGAATAGGGGACCAGGGTTTGGAGAGGTGAAAAGTGCAATGAATGGATAAGAGCAGGCTAAAGGGCAAGTGGTGTGACACAGCCCCGAGGCAGGAGCGGGCCTGGGGAGCTGGGAGAAATACCGAGGACAAAACGAGAAATCAGGGGAGCCAGAAAAGTGTGTCCCCAGGGGACTCTGTGAAGACTCGTGGCTCCATTCCCAGCGTCAGGGGGCTGAAGCGGGCGTCTTGGGGGAGGCAAGGATCAGAACAGTGGTTGCCTAGGGGAGAGTGGGATTAAGGAGTCGGGGTCTTCAGGCACAGCTGGTCTGGGCCTGGGAGTCAAATGTAGCCTAAAAGAATGTACTGGATGATCGCAAAGACTAGTAAACACCTCGCCTGCCTTCCTGTGCCCCTCAACCCCACTGTGAGCAGTGTCAACTTAAAAAAAGGTGCACAACTAGAAGCTGAGGATTGTATTTTATTCAGTGGGCTTTATGCAGACTCAAACTCTGGAAGCAGTCTCTAGGATAGCCCAGAGGGAGTGCTCCTAAGCGTGAGAGAGTGTTCCTAAGCACTCTCTCCTAAAGGAGGGGGCAGGATACAGGGAGTTTTTGTAACAAAAACCCAAAAGTCGAACATCAAAGGATCCTTGTGAATTAAAGAAAAACCAGACAAGTTAATGAATTTAGTGCTTTTGTATGCATGCAAAGATGCAAGAGTCTGGGCTCATGGAAATCACTCCTTTGATGTGTACCTTAACCGTCTAGGATCAGTATCCTGTCCCCGCCCCAACCTGAATCCCCTCAGGGTGTAGTCAGGTGGCCACAGTGGCTGATGGCTTAATGTCCACTGCACAGGACATCCCAATGCTGGTGCCTGGACATGTGGAGGGGTTGAGACCCTCAGGGCCTGGCTCTGCATAGCCGTGTGACCCACTGGTGGGGGATGCTGGTGCCGGGGCCTTGTGTTCAGTGCTCTGGTCAGATAGGAAGTTCCTAGTAACTTTGAACAAGCGGCCTTGACAATTCTGCAGCAGGTCTTGCTCCAGAGTCCCAGGGGTGGGCCTGTCCCTATGTTTGGAGAAGGGACAAAGGGAATAGCACTGCCCATTCTGTTTGCTCTGCCCCAGAGGTTGCCGACAGAGATGGAGGAATCCCGAACACCGGGATGGGCTTTTAATGAGGCCAGAATTACTTCCCCTGCCCAATCACCTTATCAGAGGGGCTTCCGGGACCACTCTGGCCACTCCTGGCTGGCAGTGCCCTGATTTATTTCCTAATGGGTAATATATTGTATAATTAAAAAGCAGAGACATTACTTTCCAGACAAAGGCCCGTCTAGTGAAAGCTATGGTTTTTCCAGTAGTTACGTAGGGATGGGAGAGATTTGGATTATAAAGAAAGCTGAGTGCCAAAGAATTGATGCTTTTGAACTGTGGTGTTGGAGAAGACTCTTGAGAGTCCCTTGGGCTGCAAGGAGATCAAACCAGTCAAGCCTAAAGGAAATCAGTCCTTAATATTCCTTGGGAGGACTGATGCTGAAGTTCACACTCCAATACTTTGGCCACCTGATGCAAAGAACTGACTCATTGGAAAAGATTGATGCTGGGAAAGAGCAAAGGCAGGAGGAAAAAGGGAAGACAGAGGATGAGATGGTTGGATGGCATCACTGACTCAATGGATATGAGTTTGAGCAACCTCTGGAAGTTGGTGATGGACAGGGAAGCCTGGCATGCTGCAGTTGATGGGGTTGCAAAGAGTCGGACAAAACTGAGCAACTGAACTGAACCCGTTTAATTATCTGTCTTGTTCACAGTGGCTTGGTGGGGCTAGAGTGTGTTCTGTGTATTTCTGCATCCCCCGCACCCTAATAAATAGTCCTTGAATGAATTATATTCGTCTGTATAGACCACACACCCACACACTCTAAAATTCCTCGAACTAATTATATTCATGTATATAGGCCACACACACACACACACACACACACACACACACACACTCGACAAACGGGGCTTCACAGGTGGTTCTAGTGGTAAAGAACCTGCCTGCCAGTGCAGAAGACCTAAGAGATGAGGGTTCAGTCTGTGGATTGGAAAGATCTCCTGGAACAGGGCATGGCAACCCACTCCAGTATTCTTGTCTAGAGAATTCCAAGGACAGGAACCTGGCAGGCTATAGTCCGTGGCGGTCACAAAGAGTGGGACACTACTGAAGCTACTTAGCACCTGTGCGTAAAGACAAAAATCATTTCACCTTCAATATGTTGTTGCACTGGAGGTAGCACTGGGAGAAACGCGGTCTCACTAAACATGATCTGAATCGTGTACATCTGATTCGCTAGACTGTGCTCTCCACGAGGAGAGGGGCCCAGAACCCAGCGAGCACTAAACAGGTGCCCTAGAAAACCGGAATGTGCCCCCTCCGCAAGCCCGCGCTCTGCTCCAAGTACTTCCCCACCTCATGTGGGGCGCGGTGGGGCGGGGCCTGGACTACGCTTCCCGGCGCTCCTCGCGCGCCCGGGACGGGGCGGGGCTGAGAATGGGGGCGGGGGCTGGTTTTATAGGGCGGGGCCTAGATGGGCCGGGGGCGGGGCCGACTACAAAGCCCGGGGGCCGGCGTTGAGGCGCAGAGTGCCCGCAACGCCGGCAGGAGCGCAGCGCAGCGCAGCGCAGCGAGGCGAGGCGCGCACGGCGGGAGCGGTGCGCCCCCCATGCTGCTGCAGCCCGCGCCGTGCGCCCCGAGCGCGGGCTTCTCGCGGCCCCCGGCCGCCCCCGGCGCCATGCACGGCTCGCAGAAGGACACCACGTTCACCAAGATTTTCGTGGGCGGCCTGCCCTACCATACTACCGACGCCTCGCTCAGGAAGTACTTCGAGGGCTTCGGGGACATCGAGGAGGCCGTGGTCATCACCGACCGCCAGACGGGCAAGTCTCGCGGATACGGCTTCGTAAGTGGCCCCGCGGCCGGGCGCTCCCGCCCCGCACTTATCGCGGCCAGGGCGCTGAGTTAAGCGGCGGGCGCACGCCAGCCCCGGGCGCCTCCCGCCGGCTCGGCACCTGCTGACCCTTCTCGGGCTGCAGCCGGTCCTGCCCCCGTCTCCCTGCCCCCACGCCACGCCGGCTTTAAAAGGGAGAGCCGCTCTGTTCAATTAGGACTCTTCTAAGTTTGTGGAGAGGTTTTGGGGACAGCCGGCTACTTTTCGGCACTTCCTGGAGCAACAAGCGAGCGAGGAACAGGGCTTCACCCTGGGGCACTTAGGAGCCTTTGAGCAACCCGTGTTTTATTTTCTAGCAACTCCCACAGACATCCCAAACAACCTAAGTCAGAGTTGGCTTGAAGACACTTAACTCCTTTTCTAACTAGGGTGTCCCCAAACCCCTCCCGTGAGGAAATTGGTGGTCCCCACGCGCCGGGTAGGCCACGCCAGGACCCCTCTTTCCCTTCGGATTTGCTGTAGTCCCCGGGGATTGTTTTTGCCCTTCAAGGCCGCGTTTCTTAGCACTTGAACTCGGAGGGAGGAGCTGGGGTCCAGGGGCAGCTTTGGGGTGAGGGGGCCTAGGCTGGACGGGGGCTGGACAGATGCCTTGGGTAGCGGGCACCTGGGGTCAGGGGAGGTGAATGCCGAGGGTGCCTGGGCTCTAGAGCCCACTCTCTGCTTCCCCCACCTTCCGGGGAAGCCCCTGATGCCTCTGTGCGCCTCCAGGTGACCATGGCCGACCGTGCAGCCGCTGAGAGGGCTTGCAAAGACCCTAACCCCAACATCGATGGTCGCAAGGCAAACGTGAACTTGGCCTATCTGGGTGCCAAGCCGCGCAGCCTCCAGACGGGTGAGAGTCGTGCTTTCCTTCCCTGTGCTTCAGGTTGCTATATTCAGCCTCGCTCTCTGTGGGGTGGAAGAGTCCCCCCCCCCCCCCCCACACTGCCCTGCTCCAGGAGTAACAGTCGGCTGTCATGTGCTCCAAGAGAGCCATCACAGGGCAGTCATCCCCCAGCTCAGAAGTCAAACCCCTTCCTCCGGCGGCATGTGCCAGTGGGACACGGCGAGGAGGGCAGGTCACCCGCTTGTCAGCTGTCCTCACCGGAGGGAGGAAGTGGGTCCCAGAGCTGGAGGTCGGGAGAACGCAAGCCCAGTGGCTGCTGCCCCTCAGCTCCGTGGGCCCCCTTTGGCTGGGAGTTCTGGGGTTCAGGTGGAGATGGCCAGAAGGGGAGAGGAAGCTGTTTGCCCCTTTGGACTAGAGGTGGAGGGCTGTGGGAGTCTTCCCTGGGTGAGGCTGGGCCCCTCCCTAACTGGTCTCTCATTTTAGGCTTTGCCATCGGCGTGCAGCAGGTGCCCCCCACTTTGATCCAGCGGACTTATGGGTGAGTGGACGTGGCCGGCTGGGGCCGGGGGGCGCACAGCCCTTGGAGACTAGGCCAGGGGGCCGTGGGCTTCCTGGGTCTGCCCGTGCAGGTGGCCCTCAGTCTGAGGGAGCCTCTTATCCCAGGACTGCTGACCCTCTGGCATTGGTGGTGCTGTCTGCAGCTCCCTTTCTCTGTCTGAGACCTGTCACTTGCTCCAATCTTTCAGAAGTGTGATTGTGTTGTGGGAGTGGGAGGGGTTCAGCTGGGAGAAGGGAGAGAAGGCAGATTGCATTTCTCTGCCTCCAGCAAAGGCCACACTGAAGAGAGATGGGGAACATGGGCCTGAATTCAGGTCCTAGCTTCCCCTGATTGGTTGTGTGCCTCGGTTTCCTCACCTGTAAAATGGGATAGTGATAGCACCTCTGAGTTCTGTGGGCGGAGGCCAGGCAGGTAGCTGAGCATGCTGGAAGTGTTTGCCGACCAGGAACCGGACCAGGCTCTTCTGAGGGCGCCTCTCTGACCTGCTCCGGTGCCCAACAGATGGCGGCAGCAGGTCACTGCCAACCGGTCCGGTGTTTGTGAAGCTGCAGCAGGTGAGCTGGAATCAGGGCCAGATGTCTCCGCCCGAGTGGGCTCAGCCTGTGGGCCTTTTGTCTGACATGCTTTGGAGTAGAGTGTCCCACCCTCCTCCACCCGAAAAGGGCCTTCTTCTTTTTTTTTTTTAAAGCATCTAATAAGGCCTGGTAGCTGCTTGGGAAAGGACACAAACTTTAGGTGCACAAAGGAGCCTGCCGTACTGGCTGACTTCTCAGCCCCATGACTGATGTCGGCTCTATGCCCTGGTGTGGGGAATGTGCTGATTACGATGAGGGGTTTGTGTTGGGGGACCATTTATAGAAAGGGCAGCCCCTTTTAGGATGGTAGAACTTCTTAAGCTTATCAGAGATCAGATTCCAGGCCCTGTGTTCTGTGTTGAAAGTTGCAAAAGTGTGTGTGTCTGTTTGCCCCAGAGACTTATTTGATTGCTCCCCTGGCTCACTGGGGTGGTGTGGACCAGGCTTTGGAGCAAGTTGGGAGCTGGGCTCGGGGGGACTGAGCAGGTTGGCCATGATTCGGGGCTCCTTGCCCTGACAGGCAGTTTCTGTGGCTGTCCTGTGCCCCCGCCCCCTTGTGGGTCAGAGACTGTGTGTGGGCCTGGTGCCTGTGTGTCCTGGGAGGAAGCCTGGAGGGCAGCCGGGAGTAGGGGGCTCTGGTTTTCTTCCCACCCTAGGATCTGCTTCATCTGTGTCTGTAGGCGTCTTGGAAGGTGTTTGGGGACACCCCCATCTTCCTGCTGTCACCCAGGTTCTTCCTGTTTGGGTTCAGGCCACACGGGGAGGGCGTTTCTCACTTTTCACAGTCCTGGTTCTGTTCCCTGGGGCAGGGGCTGGGACAGGGGCTAGCACTGAGATCCGGGTGTGAGCCTTGAGCACACGCAGCTCTCTGCTTAAAATGCCTCCGTGGCTTTCCGCTTGGGCCTGGGCTCTGTTCTGACCCATCACAGCTGCTTTTGGGACTGAGTCTCAGAGTCCTGATACTTGAGACTCTGGAGCCTGCGGACCTGGGTTCAGATCCTGGCTTTGTCACTTTACCAGTGGGATCCTCCTTGCTAAGTGATGTCTTCCTGAGCCTTCCGTTTCCTCATCTGGAAAATGGGAATAATAACGACACAAGGCAATGCTGGCTTATGGGGCTAGGTGCTCCACACCCTCGTGGCACTTCTCTGAGGTTGGAATGGACATCATCCCTCCCTCATAGGTGAGGAAACGGGCAGAGAGAGGTTAAAAACAGTTAACGACCCATCCAGGGTGGCTGAAGTGAGGGGACTTGAACCTCCACGAGCTGGCTCTGGGCCTGTGCTCTCAGCCCCTGCTCTCTGGGGTGGGAGGTGGGAAGGGTGCCCAGACGGCTTCCCTCACAGTCCTCAGAGTGCCGCCCACAGGAGGGTGGTCAGGGGTCACTCAGATCTTACTGCCACATGCTTCTGAGCGCCGGCGATAGTGTTTTGTAACTGAATCTGCTGGCCGGCCATTTAAGACCGATGACGATGCAGAGGCTCTATTTGTTGGTTGCCAAGGGGTGGAAGGACAGTCGACAAACAGGCACAAGCTTGGGGTTGGAGGGACGGTCCAGCTCTGCGTTTTCCAGCGGCTGGTGGATGGTCGCCTCCCACCAGGCTGCTCTGAGACCCATGGGCAGGAGGGGCCTCGGCCAGGCTTTCGGGGTCAGCTGTCTCCTCCCAGCGCCCGCCTGCCTGGCTGGAGACTTGGGCTGTCAGCGTCCCTTTTGTCTTTACAAACAATCGGGCCCAGGAGCCCGGTCGGGCCTGACTCAGCGGTCAGTTGTGTCAGCTCCAGGCTGGCAGGGAGGCCCGGGCAGCCCAGAGTTTGCGAACCCGTTAACCCCTCTCCTGCCTGGCGGAACTTTCCCCAGTCTTTCCGGCCCCGCTCCTGTGCCCGGGGCAGTTCCAAAGACCCCAGACCCCCAACTCCCAGGCTCAGCTACTGCGGAATCCTCGCCTGGCCAGGTCATAAACATCAGTGTGGGAAGATCTGCCAAAGGACTTTGACATTCTGTTTTCTGCTTGGGTTCCTCCTCCCCGGTTTATCTTTTCTTCAAGAACAGGGTCTTTCCGGATCTATCTCGAGTGGGACATTTCCGTCACATTCACTCCGTGGGGCTGAGGCTTGGATCTGGAGAAGACTTCTTTGGGAGGTGGCAAGTGGCCAGTCTCAGGGGGAAACAACTACAGCCAGAGACCACCCAGCTAAGCGGCCCACCGGGTAGGACAGTCAGGAGCCTACAGGCACGGGTCCAGGCAGAGTGTCGGATCTGGCTTGGAAGGGGCTTCTTGGCCGGTGTCAGGGCTGTTTGACAGCCAGCTGTCTGTCCAGGCTGGGCCTGAGGGCCATAGGAGCTGAGGTGTGTCCTGGGCCCGACTGCGCTGGGAGCCTCTCCTTGGGGTATTTTTGAAGGGTTACCTGTTTCTCTAGGCTCACCTCCCTCCACCCTAACTTCTTAAGGGGGCCTCACTGTGGCTCCACACCTGTCCACCACGAGCCCCACTCAGTGCCGGGAGCAGGCCAAGCCCTCAGGCCCAGATGACAGGACAGGGTCCTGTGTCCGTTGGGTGTCAGGCAGGCTTCGTGTCGGAGCGAGGCCCCGGGGGCCTAACTGAGCTCGGGGTCAGGCCCACCCCCTTCTCCCCATCTGCAGGGTGGGGACCGTGTCAGCGCCACCTCACCGGGCTGAGTAGGGATGGACCCGTGCCTGGTGCAGAACTGTGCAGTGAGGGCCGGGCCCACGGGAAGACCGGTGCAGTGATTCATCTCACAGTGGCTCGGCCACAGTCTGTTGTCCCCTCCACCTGTGCAGATGCTGGGTGCGGGGAAACTCACCAGAGCTGACTGTGCGTGGCACAGGCACTAAAGCCTGAGTCGGGGGCTCCAGCACCCTCCCTCCTTCCCCGAGGCCCCAGCACCGCTGTCTGGCTAGCTCATGGACAAGGCAGAGCCAGAACCCCCAGAACTGACCAGGGCCCAGGGTCTCCTCCCTCGGCACCTTCACACTGCATTTGGCTGAAGGTTTCCGGGCCCCTGCTCCGTCTCTGTGATGGTCCCCAGTGCCCAGGTCGAGACCCGCTGCCCTTGTTGTCATCAAGTCGTGGGTATCTGCCCAGCCAGGGGGTCTGAGTGGAGTATCTGGGTCCCCAGGGTGGGGGGGGGGCATAGCGTGACAGGAAGATGTCTGTTTCTCAAAAGCGTGTAGCACGCAGGACTGGGCAGAAGGGAATGAGCTGTTCCCAGAATGCTTTGTTCCTCGAGTATTTGTTGAACACCTGCTGGATACTTTGAAAGACGTGGTTGGTTCTCCGTCTCGCTTTCTGGCAGGGATGCCAGACCATTCGAAATCCATCTGCACATGTGATGGGTGCAGCTGGACAGAGCAGCTGGCTGGCAAGAGGCCTCGTGGGGGCAGGACAGGCCTCTGTCGTGATGTAAGGGTAGGAAGGATGATCTGCGAGTATGGCAGTCACAGACTTGCACCCTAGGACACCTCCAGATGGTGAAATCAGAGCAAGGCCTGGAGCCAGCTAAGAGCAGCATGCCTGCTATGGACTCTTGGGCTTGGTGGCATGTTGTGTTATGAGACGTCACCACTGGGGACACTGAGGGGGCCTCCGGTACTGTACCTGGAGAGCCTTGTTATCTCATGATACGACATAAATAAAGCCAGGGGTAGTTGCGGTGCCTAGAATAAGGGCCAGCACCTGGGCGGAGGGTTAGGGGGGTGGGGGCCAGCACCTTGGAGGTGTGGCAGGAAGTGAGGTCAGAGTGGAGGCTTTGCGGGGGCGGGGGGGGGCGGGCAGAGAGGAAGCCAGTACCCTCCCTGTGTGGCATCACATGGCTTGTTTTTACTTTCAGGGTGTCTGGGGTGGTCCTGCCCCTCCCCACCCCGTTGCTTCCTGTTTAGCTCTCACTGGAGCGAGGCGTGGGCCGGCGCGTGGCCCTCCCCGCGGGCACCCGTGCACACCTGTTGTTTGTCGCCGTCTGCTGTAACAGACACCGGCCTCCGGGTGGTTCTTGGGTTCTCATCCAAGGGCAAGCTCCCCGCCAGCCGCGCTGGCCCTGGCAGGAGGGACCCTGTGCTGAGGGCTGCAGGGCCTCGTCCGGAAGTCTCGGGCCAAGGGGAGAAGCCTGACCATGCTCAGGCTGACGCGGGCATCCTGGCCCCATCGGTGGGGAGGAGTGGCGGGGGGCGCTCCCAGGCGGGCAGGCCCTTCACGCTGCAGCGGGAGGAGGCTGTGTGGGGAGGCTGGGAGCCCCATGACTTGCCTGGGGGCCTCCTTGTTCTTGTGATGACCTTTTCTCGTCGAGTCTCTGTTTCCCTGGCTGCTGCGTGGATGTGATGAGCACTCTGCAGAGTGCTGGGGGCCGCCGGGATCATTCTCCTGACCCCTCCCACGTCGGGGGTGGGGA